GACACACGTAAAAAAGAAAAAGTGCTTCTACTCATAAGCAAGCTTGACACTTGCGGGGTCAAATTAATACCAAGTGTATCAAAAATTATTAAGTCCGCTGCAATCAAACTCTCACCTTTGGCTTATCGCGAAAGTCTTCAATGTGTTTTGATGGGCACGGGTGTGGATGTAACCGCATGTCAGTGGATTGTTTTCTTTGCCGGGGAGTCAAAACGCAGGACGTACAGTTGAGTGCCCATACATGGCTGTCTGGTAAAGGTTACAAAAGCATAAGGTAATTATTAGATCGGGGGTTTCTTTAGTTTTCGCTTAACAGCTAAACACTGTCAGCTTTGCGGGGAGTCCCTCTCTCTGTGTTTTTTGTTAATCTTAAGGGAATATGTTAACTATAATTAATTGTAATTTCCGTAGTACGAAAGCTGTGCAATTTCCGTCACGTCCTTTTAAAACGGTACAAATATTTTTTTTACCCGGTAGTGTTCACACTTCTTTTCTTATACCCTTCGGAAATACATATGCATTGTCACATTGGCTACCCTTGCCGTTTCCTCTAAGACGTACGTTATCGCATCGTCGTGCCCTTTTTGAGATTTTTATCGCTGGAAATGCCAAAATTCTTGGTAGAAAATTCACTGCCTCCAAATCGGATCAGTTAAGCACTGGATAGGGATGAAAATAATACACTATCATAGGCATAATCAAGAATCCAGTTTAGCTTAAAGAAGAAGTACCTTTCAAAGTGAGCCGGAGTTTCTTTCATTCCTCAAGCAATGTCTTCTGTCTTAGGTTAGCCTTCTTAGGGACAGCAGAATAATTCAATAAATATTACGTACAAGTGAATTCAGAGGCTGAAGCTGAACAAATCGCTGGAATGGTTGGGATGAGGAGAAGCAGTAAAGAGCTTAAAAAAAATGTTTGTTGGGACTAATCTACTTCTTAAGACCTTATTCTTCGGGTTACCTTTTGAAGCAATTATGAAACGCATTTTTCGGACGATAAGTACGCGAATCCACAACGGACCCGAATTCAGCTTGAAATTGCCTAAATTTTTCATTGAGGAAACTAAGAACTGTGATACCTTCTTTTGCAGTTTCATGAAATTGCAGTTTTCTAATCGTGACGGAAAGGTACAATTAAGTGAAAAAAAGGAAGTTAGAATCAGGGGACGGTGTTTGCGTTCTGAATGAAGTGCTGTGCATAAACATTTGCCTTACTTCAAGAAAGACTGCAGTACAATTTAATCCTTGACTTTTAACTTGGGTTTTATTAAACAAATATATATATCGTTAATTTTAATCATCAGAGTAGTGCATTAACTCTTTTACGCTTTCGTTATTCCACGAAAATAGTTTATGGAAACATGTTGATTATGTTGTAGAGTTTATTTCTTACGTTGCTTAATAGACAACAAACTATTAAACCGTTCCGTTACGACTGAACTGACTCGCCCCAGTCCATGTAGCCTGCGAACAGCAGACGCATTTCCGGAAGAAGCGACGACCGGAAATGCGTCTGCTGTTCGCAGGCTACAGTCCATGAGATTATCAGCCACAATTGACTGAGAGATAACTGGGGTGACTCACGTGAAAGAACACAGCAAAATTTGAAGACACTTCTTCACACTGGCTAAATGTGGAAGTCGTGTGACGAACTACTATTTTAACCTTGTATGTTGCCTTTTTCTATAAACTAACGTGATTAAAATCTTTGATTCTGACATACTGTTGTCAATCCCGTGTGAGTTGAATGACTTTTATCCTCTATGAACTCATGGCACTTCTACTCAGTACAACATGGTAGCTGTTTCCAATGCACTTACATTTTGAAAACATGGTGCGATCATTATAAGTTAGTGAAAAATATCTCGAGCAAACTACAAAAGATATCACCTCTTCATTCAATTCAATAACCCTTCAGGCCCCAAGATCCACATAAAAATTTTCCAGACTCATCTCCATACATTTCTTTAAAGAACAGTTGGGAGAATTTGGTTTAAGATAAAAGCATTCTCCCTTTGGTAATCAATTGAGTAATTTTCATAATGTTTACTCTTGATGATCTGCTGATGTTGTTAGGAGAAAATTGATGCTGGCCACTCTTGGGAACTGAAGGGTTTTAAAATACATTTTTGGATGGCACCCAACGGCAGCTTGACGTCATCCCGTGGCGACAACTGTATAAATCGTTACGCTACGACCAAAAAGCTTCCGTCTGACGTGAACATTTAACTCAAAAAATTTACTCTCTTAGTTTGATGCCCCACCTAGGATTTCCTCAGCATTTCAATTACTCTTATTGCTAGTGTAGCTTTTCACGTCCACATCTCTGGTTGTCATGCTGAAATGTTCCATGATCCGCAAGGCGTCAAAGCCACACCCTGGAGTTGCCGAACACAGACTTCTTCAAATCATGTTCCATGACTTTCCATCTACCAAACGAAAACTTTAATTTTCCATGACTTTCAAGGACCCACAATGAAATTCCATGAATTTCCAGGCCTAGAAAATGAAATTCTTAAATTTCATGACTTTTCAGGTTTTCCATGACCTGTACGAATCCTGGAACAAGTAACTGATAATCTCGCTTTTACGTTTTTACTCGCCCATTTGGAGTGACCATTTTCCTTGTATCCTCTTGTAAATTTAAAACCACTCACTTCCAACTCGCTCCACATCCAAAGCGACTTTGACGTTCAGCTTGATGGGTTGTATTTTGTTCTGTAGCTCATATCCCCATTGGACACTTTATGACGTTTACACAATTACGTATCCCTGATCACCGGGGTAACAGCCCCCCGCACTGGAGTGAGCCTTTTTCCACGCGGTTTTTTTTACACGTACAATTCACTCACTTCCAACTCGCTTCACGTCCAACGCGACCTTGATGTTCATCGCGGCAAGTTCANAAAATGAAATTCTTAAATTTCATGACTTTTCAGGTTTTCCATGACCTGTACGAATCCTGGAACAAGTAACTGATAATCTCGCTTTTACGTTTTTACTCGCCCATTTGGAGTGACCATTTTCCTTGTATCCTCTTGTAAATTTAAAACCACTCACTTCCAACTCGCTCCACATCCAAAGCGACTTTGACGTTCAGCTTGATGGGTTGTATTTTGTTCTGTAGCTCATATCCCCATTGGACACTTTATGACGTTTACACAATTACGTATCCCTGATCACCGGGGTAACAGCCCCCCGCACTGGAGTGAGCCTTTTTCCACGCGGTTTTTTTTACACGTACAATTCACTCACTTCCAACTCGCTTCACGTCCAACGCGACCTTGATGTTCATCGCGGCAAGTTCAGCCACAAGATAGCGAAACACGTAAGGGAATGCTAACAGCTGAATATGTTCTGTGCTTTCACAAACTTTACAAGTCCACTTGCGCTCTTTGTGCGCAGCCGCAGCTGCCACCTCCACGGCGGGTTTGTCCAGGAGAGGGGAGAGTATGCTTCCGCACTTTGTGCAGACCTGACCCTGGGGGAGGAGATAGAAGGTTAAAGGTATGAACATTGTCGAGTAACTTGAAAATTGTGCCCTAATTGACTACCTTGTATACTAGCCCTTAGGCAATCTTTAAGAAGACAGAGCTCTTCATGATCCATCTTTGTAAGTTTTCTTGTAATAAAAGTTTAAGTCAGTCTAGTCCAGTCCAGTCTAAGTGCGATACACTTAGAATGGAATACTGCCGTTTTTTATATCATTTTCCCCGGTCACTGTGTTTCGCTAGTGAATTTCGGAAATCTTCGGAACCTACGGAATAGTGCAAACTCGCGAAACCACGGTTTCGTGAAACAGCTCTTAACCTTTTAAGACCAAATATCCACATAAAAAACCCAGAATAGTTTCCAAATATTTCCTATAATTAGAGATTTGGAGAAAAAAAAAATCAAAAAATCATTAATTTTCCCTGATTATCATTCTATCAATTAATTTTCCCTGATTATCATTCTATCAGTTCTTTTAACTATTTCTCTTGATGATATGGATATTGTTGGGAGAAAATTGATGGTGGTCACTGGCTAAAGTAAGAGAAAGATTAAGCATCACATTTACGACAAACGGCAAACGCAAATTTGTACCACGTGACCAAGTTTCCTCTTTACTTGTCGTTTACTGTTCATTATTTCTACACATAAATTGGAAGTTTCATGTAATTTTTTATCCATAAGAATTGTTTTGAGCTGTTTTCATCTGCTCATTTTCTATTTTGAGAAATTCTCATCTTAAATCTGACGTTAGTGCCGTTTGCCGTATACGTGAAGCTTAAACTCTCTACTGTTTGTACGAAGGTTTCTTACCACTGTTCTGTCCGAGCAGTTCATGAGGCGATCTTGCAAGAGAAAAGATGTTCCATGTGCCAGTAGAGCGTCCCTCTCCATTTCACCAAATCGAATGCCACCTTGTCTTTTACGACCCTGACACAAAGTAAATTGTGGATATCTTATTATCCACTTCCCTCATGGT